CAGGATTTCCCTTGGCATTGCCACGACCCATGGAAAAGTCTAGTATTAAACTCATAAAACCTGCTGCCAGGCTTCGTTAAGTTTCCTATTAACAGATATTGCAGAGGTTTTCAAGAGCTATCTTTCTATACTAAAGACTAGTTGCATTCTCCCTTATCTATGGGAGTAAATTGGCTAAAACATCAACTGTGTTCACTTTTAGGTCACCTTGGGCTCGTATTTGACCTCTAAAGGATTGAGCGAATGATACGTAGGGTTTGTTTAGTCAGAATATTATACAGTTTTCCAAGGACTATTCTTCTGTATCAAGCTTTACCGTAACTTTATATTAGATTTCGAGCAAAATCATTTTTGTTAAACACCGACACTGTATTAAAGTGGAATCAAATGCAACTTGCGTTTGATTATTAACTTAACTTAAAATTACTGGATGCTCAATTAATTTAATTTTTCTCAACAATTAAAATATTTGCTAAGTTTGATAAGTGATATATAAGTAAAATATTTAATCATTAAGTTAATAAATTGAAAAATGTGTTTTTAAGGTGAAAAATTTAATTAGGAATAAAAAGATTAATCCCATCCACAATTGTTTTATTTTAAATTAAAATAAAATACTTAGAAAAAAATAACTTTTTACTTAGCATTTAATAAATTAAATGGGAGCCTTCATAAATCACTCAAAATCGGTTCAAACAAGCTGGAAACTTTAACATATACTCAATTTGAGTTGCCCTTGATGATTAGCCTTGATATAAAGTCAAAGGACTTGTAAATTTGTTTTAGATAAATATGTCAAATAAGAATGAAAAACGTAAAATGCGAGACGATAACAAAGGAATAAAAAAATGGTTTAAATCAACAAAAGAAGAAACACAGATAAAGTCTAATGGTGATGATAGTGAAAATAATAAAGAGTCAACAATAGTAGACGTTTGTCCTGATTTTAGTGGTATATATTTCAAAGCGCTGATCTGGTACAATTTAGTTGCAACATAACTGAACTTACTCTTTTAGAAGCACCGCCGTCACTACCAGAGATACATCACATTACCCAAACTCTTGAATCTATTGAAGAGCAGCCGGCTTTTCATGAGGACCAGAATGTGATAACAAAAGTTGCAGTTGAATTGAAAGAACTTTATTCGTTACTCTCAGAGTGCGAACGAAAAATTAAACAGTCAATATCTCCAGAATTATGCCAGGAGACTTTTGTGGTAGAAAGTTTAACATTATCAAATGAAATAAAACGAATATCAACTACTCTTGCTGAATTATGTTCAAATCAACTTGCCTCGGTAACTGACACTCGTCGAAATATTGCTGATAAACGCAATAAAAATGAAACAATTAGTAGAGATCCAGCTGATAATAAAAAATATGATGATGATGAATTGCGTTATTTAGTATTTAAAGGTCCTGCACAACCAAAATTAGCTTCTTTTCCACAAAATCTTGTGTTGAAAGCTAAGCATTATCAATGTTCATTTACTACTACGTGGTATCATGATTATCCTTTATTAGAGTACAGTATCAAAAACAATTCAGCATATTGTTTCTCTTGTCGTTTGTTTGGTGATGGACCGGGAGGAGAAAAAGCGAAGGATGCGTGGTCCGTTAATGGAGTTGATTCATGGTCGAAAATGAAAAGTAAACGAATAGGTTTTGTGATCTACAAGTTTCAACTTCGGATCTTATTTTAGGTATAGGAAAAACGAAAGCTGGTAAACTTGCTGCTCATTTCAAATCAACAGCACATCTATCGTCACAACAAAGATTATTGAATTTTAAAAATAAAAAAACAAACATTGATCTTATGTTAGATGGTAATTGTCGCCAAGCTGATCAAAAACGTGAACAATTATTGAAACTAAACGAAAAAGTTATCATTTCTTTATTAGATGCAGCAAGATTTTTAGCAAGACAGTCATTAGGTTTTCGAGGTCACAATAATAATCCAGGTAAGGTGTGACAAAAAAGTTTAGTTTTCACAATAATGCATTTATTTTACTACAGGAAATTTTCTGGAAACAGTCAATTTAATACGTCGACATAATCCAACATTAAATCAATGGTTCAATGATTGTAGTTTAAGAAAATATCATGTAATAATGAGGAAATTTGAGAAAATATTAACTGATTTTATTTAAGTTTCTAGGTTAGTTATTTGACATTTCATGCACAAAATGAATTTATACAGCTATTGGGTGATGCTATTCATAAATTAATATTGACAGATATATATGAAGCTAAATTCATTTCGATAACTACCGATTCAACTTCTGATCGTTCACATAAAGAAATTTATACAATTGCTATTCGTTTCGAAAAAGATTTTGAAGTGAACGAACGTATTATAGCTGTATCAGAATTAACATCAAAAGTTGGACAAGATATTTGTGACTATGTAATTAATCAATTAAAACAATGTGGGATATCATCAGAAAAAATAATTGCACAATCATACGATAACGCATCAAATATGTCGGGCAAAACTTTAGGTGTTCAAGCATGTATAAATAAAAAGTTAAATCGATCAGTGATGTATATACCATGTTCAACACATTTCTCAAATTTAGTTGTTAAACATGGTAGCATAATTAGTGTTGAATATGTTAATTGTTTTGGAATACTAAAAGAATTATGCAATTTTTTTTCTGGAAGTATGAAACGTCATGCATTATTGTATAAAAATTTATATGCAACAGAATACGGTATGCTTCATAGTAGAGTTTTAATCAAAGCTATTTCATTTATTGATGACCTTTAGGTCTATTAATTAAAGATCTATCAAAAACTCGCTGGTCTGATCGATATAATTCAATTAGAGCAGTATTAATATCATATAAAGAAATTGTTGAAACACTTGATGATTTAAGTGTAAATGATAAA